GCACCATGCTCTACAATTAGACATCTCAATAATTTTCCATTTTAAAACATACAGCATAATACATAATTCAAAAATTGTTCATTATATAATTTCATATATTCATTCCTTGCAAATCTACATAATTCATATTTCTTTCTTTTTATTTGCACAAGTAATTTGCATCGCAGTGTGTAACGATCTGATATTTAGCGCCATGCTAAGTATTAAAACCAAAATTAGGATTGGAGATCCACTAATGCTGGTTTTGAACTGTAAAACTTAACTTAGGAAAAAGATCCTGTGATGCTATAATCACTCCATCATTTAGATTATAGCCAATCAGGGAACACATTAAAGGAGCAGTTTAGGATATCAACGTAATCACCTATAATCGCATGTAAAGTATTTATGATATTAGGTTTGTTTTTATCGTTGGCTTGTTGTAGAAAACCACAGAAGTAGCTTCTGTATGGAGATGAAAATATTGAAAGTGATGCTGTGGGTGGTATGTGTTGATATTTAAAGATGTTGCAGCAGAGCCACCCTCAGGCTGTTGAATAGTTTATTTTTCAACTATTTAATGCAATGATGAGATGACAGTAATAGTTGTGGTGATGATGATGGTGAAGACTGCATATGCATGATTGTGGTTATCATTGTTATAATTATGCTGATTATGGTGATGCCGATGATGGTAATGATTATGATAGTAACGATACTGATGCTGCTTTTTGATGAAGGTATTAATGATGATGATGAAATAATAATGATGCAATGATAATGAATGATGATAGTGACGAAGATAAGGATGATGTTAATATAGTGACAGTGATGATGCAATGATGATTATGATGATGATAATATGTGGTTAGGTAAAACTACTGCATTCTCAAATAGGGCTATATCACAGAATGAAGAACATGAGTACTAATGAAATATGAAAATCTTATAATGATGGAACATGTACTGTAAAAAACCTGATGGCACACTCAAATTGGACTAGGTCCAAAGATGAGATGTGCTATTATACTGTATCTTGTAACAATTAACCCACAAAGTAGAAAAGTTACTACTGTAAATTCAAGGATAAAGGCCGCTTTTTATATATGCTAAAGAAGATAAAAGGATACATATGTATCCTGAAGCAAAACCATAACCCAATCGAAAGCCCTGAAATACAATATAAAGTGACAATTTTAATAAGATTAAGCTAAATTGTATCAGTTTTTTTTTACAGTAGAGTGCTGCAGATAATTTTAAATCATATTAAATCTGACAATTCTGAATTTCCATAAAGTACCAGTAATGTCCTGTGGTGTCCTTGTATTACACAAGTACAATTACTGTGTTTACAGACTGTTTTTTTCATGTCATAGGAAATATGATGGTGTTATGTAAAAAAACCATTATGATCCGTACGATTTCTGATTTCTTAAGTTAGGCCTGCAGGCGGGTTAAGGAACTCGAGCACACATATGAAAATATGTAAATTATGAAATATTATGCTCTTTGTTGCTGGTTCAATCCATACGAAAGAATATTGATTTGTTGGCGGCAATAAATGGGTATTTTCTGCAAAACATACCTAACCATCTCCAATCCCCGTAAGCTTTTATTGACTGAAATCTTACGTATAATTAAATCAACGATTGCGACTGCCCATTAGAATTCACAATTGCGATTATTCATATTAATTGTACAGTATTTCCAGTTTGGGGAGTGATAAAGAAATTTGGTATGCATACACATGGATATGTAAGAATAATGGGGATGCAAACTTATTAACGTAGCAAATTACTGATATTAATCTATCTTTATCGTTCTATCGTTAATTTAAGATTAACAATGAAATAGTATACACTTGAAATGCATACATTTTAGTATGTGTGTAATAACTGCAATATTTGACTGTGCATATAAATTATTAGGTTCAAGTAAAAAAATTATATACTATACTGTTGTGATAAATTATTTTCTTCCCTTTTATTTTGTTTCTTGTTCTGTATTCTTTCAAATTCAACCTCAAGTACACTTACCAACTGCAGAATGGACGAACAACTGCATCTCTTTATTGATGTGTTTATGAGGATTTGAACCTAGGACCCTGTGATTTGGAAGGCAAGCATCATCTTAACCACTCAAACTCTTAAATGGGTCAAATAGTTTATCAACTGCCAGTAAGACACAAATTAAAACGGTTATAGCAACTGACTTGTTGATGTATCTGTATCTGAACCTCTGACTAATCGGAACAACACCAATCCCCCACCCACACCGACCCCTGAAGGGATAAGTGGCGGATCGAAAGGGACCTAGCCATCCGCCACCACCAAAATTTGTATAAAGGTAGAAAAAAGGAAATTATATTAAAATTTATGTTTGTGAGTGCCATTTCCGTCCATCTAGAGGTGCCATAATCATAAATTTTCTTAGCTCAGCTCCAAACATAGTGGAGCTGAGGTGGTTTAGAGTCTACACCTGATATTATGATATTATGTTTTTGTTGTTTTCTTTAATTCATTTTGTTTTCAATATTTTTTTATTTTCTAATTATGTATGGCCTTGCACGGCCTTGATAAAAAAAACCTATGGGTGATTCAAGTGTCTCCCATGAATAAATAAATTATATTATTATTATTAAGTCCCTCCCTCGGCCCCTCTATTCCAAATTCCTGTATCCACCACTGGTGATCCTAGTTCAACAACAGTTTTGCTAGTGTTTGGCATTTTAACAAGGATTCTAAATTGAGTACCAGTATTATATGGAGCAAAATTAATAATTAAATGCCTATTTCCTCAATTGGCGGGTAAAATTGTAGTACTGTACTCAGCCTAAAATAATCATGTTTCTTATATTAGTGTTTATTAAAGATCTGTCACTGTCACCTATGATCTTGAGTATATTAAAAATAAATTGCTCAAATTTGCATAATGAGTTATTAGCTTCCATTCCAACTAACAAAAAATTAATGACAAAAAAAAATCCCTTTCCCATTTAACAGACATTAGACCCTTAAATTTCTGTCAGCAAAAATTTAAGGATTTTAATAGGTAAAACATCTGTAAATGATTAAAAACTGATGTTTTTTCCATGTGACTGAAGGTTGATAACTGTGGTTCTTTTAAACAAGCCACTCAAAATGTATTGATGTTTTCTAAATTTGTTGGCATGGCAGTGTATGATGTATCTAAATATCTCATACTATCATCTATAGGAAATCATAATTGAGTTCACTTTCATTGTATAAATATAGAACTGCAGATTTTTTAAATAAATGAAGAAATTAATTTTATTTCGTAAGAGTGATCGTTCTGAATAATGCGAGACATCCCATGTGCAAGCGCTGACAGTTCGTCCGCCATGCGTTAAACATTTCATGTGAGGGAATTTATTTTCAAATACTGTGGAAATTAACTTATATAAAGTAGTATCGATCAATTCTTTTTAAGTGATTAAATATGTTTTTAAAAAGCAATTTGAAAGCATTTGTACTACTTGTATTTATTAAATTGTTTATACATTATGTTCCCCTGCATCTCCATATTTTTTTGCCTACCACTACTCACGCTATGAGACATATTGGCACAAAAAAGAGTGGTTTACCCCTCGGTTTAATAGAAAAACGATTAAAAACAACTTTACAATCACTGTACTGTTTTCGGTTCCAGTGCTGATCAGTACTATGGAAGTACAGTAATATAAATCTATTTGACCTGGCAGCACAAAAACGCGACCTTTGCATCCATTAGATTTTAAGGCATATAGTACTTGGCCTTCATTCAATACATAAATAGGGGTATTTTCACAAACACAATACAGTATTAGACTTTGATATCTGTTTCTTGGTATATATTGCACTAAATTGAAAGTAAATACCTGTATGTAAATTTGTTTATGAGCAAATTCAGATTATTCTGGCATTACTCTACATTTGTATTAATACAGAGTATCTACTACAAATAAATGATTGTGTGGGACTGCACTATACAGGTTAGTTGATGGAAAGACTATATAAATGGATTATGACAATTTTAATGTGTTTATTATTAATGTCATTTTAAATATTTAAATATTTTTTGCACTTTTTGAGGGGCATTTAATCAAACGGGGCGCTTATCAAAACAGATTGGAATTTGAGGGGGCACTTATGGAAATAAATGAAAATCGAGGGGTTCTTATGAGAACTTATTAAATTCAAGAGGCACATTTTAAATGAAAAACGATTATATAAGGACATCAGGAAACCGCAAGATATGAATGGTGGTGCGGCGGAAAAGATAATCGTCCAGAGAGCATGGCTCACAAGAATGTTGTGAGTACATGTATTAAATAACAGCAGAATAGCAGATGAAATTAGTGGTGGAGGTTAGCTTGTTGGCCATCGGCTGATTGAGATTAGCAGGATGGAACGATCATTGCAGGTTTTCTTGAAAACTCAGATGAGAATGTGTTAAGTGTAAATTGTCGGAAAAGCAGTAGGACTAGGCTATAGAAAAAATTTAAGATGAAAGTTAGAAATATACTGTCTGTCCAGGGAGCTGTCATCTGTCCAAGATAAATATCCTCATGCGATGGGAATGCGATTCCACTCCACACCTCAAATCATGCCAACATCCACAGTCCAGGATTGATTGAATTATTGAGGGGGTGTTTATTCAAATTAGAAGAGGCGCTTATTTAAATGGGGCGCTTAATGATTTTTCACGTTAGAAAGGGTGCGAGTATGGTATCCTACAGCACTTTCAACACATGCACACATTTCTCGCATTCCTTTAAAAAACATTTCCAAACTGTCAACAATGCTGTTAATGTACAGTACTGTATATTGAAGTTGAAAAATGCACGATTGCTTTCCAGTTTCATCTACAATCTACTGGATAATTAATGAGTAGCTTTCAGTTTCTGAAGCAGACCCCGGCAACAATACCAGGTACTGTAATAATTGGAATTTCAAAAAAACACGCCATTTTGGAACGCAAATATGATATCAATAGCACATTAATTACAAAAAAGACATGTATATGAGTTTCACATTTTATTTTATATCAACATATATCAATAACAATGAATTTTAATAATAAACATTTGTATTTGTATGTATAAAATGCTAAATAAATAATAAAAATAATACTGTAAAAATCATAGATGAAATTTCTTGATTGCTTAACAACTCGTCATACTTTATTATTTTATTATCAGAATTACTGGGCGAGACGGATGTAGTCCCAGCATTAAGGAAACAAGCATCCGCTCAAGCTACTCGTTTTCTGCCTTTAAATTAGTATTAAATACTCGCCACTAAGTCCAGTGGTAATTTGAGCTTTGTACAGTATTACAATATTTATACTTCTGGCTAGGAATGGCTTAAGTTACACCAAGCTAGGGAGTCCTATTTTCCCCCGTGTACAGAATTAAAACGTTGCATGGGTACGGTTTTTACCGCCAAAGAAAGACTATGTTATCTTACAAAAGGACTGAACCTAGAGAGTTTGGCAATTGTTCATTTGTAGTTTTTAAGTTGCTCTACTTATGGGGGCTATCCACCCTACCACCTGAGAATACCACTTTGCAACAAAATGGCAACACTTTTTAAACAGCAATTTTATATATTACAATCTAGATACTTAGTAGAATGATGATTTATATAGGCATATCTTCATAAACTCTGTATTTAAATATGAATAGTCAGATAATATATAGAACTGTAATTATTGAAACATATTGGCAAGGCAATCAAGAAAAAAAACCAATATTTATGTGCAACATACCACCAGTTGTTCCTTTACATTAAAAAGATGAAAATGATATGATTACAATCATAAGTAGCAGACTAGGATCACATCTGTACCACAAGCCATTTATAGTCCAAAGGTTTATTTACCCCTGTATCATCGTACTATAGATCTCTACTGCCTAATCACCTTATATATTGGTCATTAGGCAAATATTATATTTTTACTGGAACTAATTCAAAAATATTAAAACCCCATTCAGTGGACTGGCACCGATATAAATTCACATTTGCTCTTGGCACACTATATTCAAACAATTATTTAAAAAAATACAATATACATAGTTGCAATAGTAGTACATTATTTGTTTTAGAGAAACTGCCAAATGGAAGAATTCTGTCCCATGAATAGAGTCAATTTTCTTAAGTATCAATTGAAAAATTATTTTTAAATATCATGGAAAAAAAACTATGGCAAAGTAAAAAATTAATCATTTAATCCACCCAACTTCTCAATTAAATAGTAACACAAGGTGTAGCATTTGTTTTTTCTTCCAAAAATAAAAGATGCATTTAAATATAAATTAGCAAAACTATGTGTACAATTAATCTGAGGTTTATATGTTGTGAAAGAAATCTGGTGCAAGAGCTATGTGGTGAGAAAGTAGTTCCCAGTTAGGAGCCAGACATATGATACTAGACGGCCTAGCATACACATCCATAAATGGAAGACCGAAGAGAGCAGTAATTTTTTTGAGTATTGTGACAACTTAGCAAGATTTTTTTAAAGATGAATATATTGTTTACTGTGTTTGCTATCGTCTAATTTACTAGACATTCATGTATACGTTTTGAAAGTAGTATGCAATTTATATATGAGCTATTTTTTTTACTATAGAAAATCTTATGGCAAAATGGACAGTAACTGTTAGAGCCATATACTGTACACTGTTAATTATAAAAATTACATATAATTTGTAAACTTCATTGGAACATTACACTGGTTGCACATAAAAATGTTTTAGTACTAAACAAGTGACAACTAATATTTCAATAACATACGCATATTTTGTTATCACAACTATAAAAATAACATCCTTTTTCTTAATAGGCAAATTGCATTCATGGGACCCTCATATCTCTTCTAATTTGCTTATTATATATCCAAAAACAACTCTATGAAGCCTCCTGGGACAGTAGAAAAACAGCACACAATCTTGTTATAACACCTTAATTACCATACTCCAACTTTTTTCACTTAAAAAATAAACTCTGAACAATTTAAAATCCTTAAAAATGTTTTAGGCAAATACTATATCAGGCTTAACATAGGCCACCATATAACATGACCAAACAAAAATAAAATATTTGCATTTAGTCTTTCAATACCTAAGTTCATATTTAAAACATGGAATATTTGGTCAAAAAATTGTATTATTATACCTACATATACAGAACAACTGTTGTAAATAATATTGATAAAAATAAGTTGTACACTATATATGTCTACCTCCAGGCTCAGATATGAGAGCCTGTGAGTAAACTGAATTCATTTGTATGCATACCATTCTTTATCATTGTGACCTCTAGTAGGCACAAGTTTTTATTTTTTTTCATTTTGTTGTTTTGATACATAATACAATAAAATAAGTTTTATATTTGGACTATAAAATATTTGCTGGGTAAAATATATCTCTGAAAAGCAACTCTTATTTCAACTGTTAGTCCCAACAGAAAGCATCTTAAATGTACATACTTTTTCACAATACAAAAACCAGTCACACATACAAGTTTAGGCCTATACAATTAATAAACAGCAATACTCTAAAGAACATACGTAACAATATAGTTCTGGCCAAATCAGACCAGAGAGCATAAATGAAGAAATTAAATAACTTTACTTTGTAAAACGTCTTAGTATGAAATAGAGTCTCCAAGAATAAAATATCTCTGAAAAGTTTTTATCAAGTCAAATACAATGACAACATCTTTTTGCTTTAAACACAGCGAGAAATTCTCAATCTATTATTATAATTATTATTATTTCAATACCATATCTATGAACCTGATCAAGAATAATTATAAATCTCATTAATTATTTTGATTTGATCAAAGTACTATAAATGCAGCTAAAATACAAACTTTAATATACTACAGCAACTACTTAGGAAAATATTCGAATCGCCTGATTTACTTGTTGGAAACATACAGGGCATTCAGCAGGTAATTTATCCAGGACTTGTTTTGCGCAGTCCATACAGAACAAGTTGTGACCACATGGAACAAGAGCTGCAACAACCTCATTCTCTGAGCAAACATAACATTCCTTAGGTTTTCGCTGGCTGTTGCTGGATCCTGTGGAGTTAGTCGGACTTGTCGAAGCACTATTTGAGCCGGTTGAATTCGAGGTGGAGAAAGAGGGAGGCATAGGAATCACATTGAAGGCTGGAAGAGACGATAAACCCCCGCCGAGCGGATCACTGTGGATGCGCCTGGCAGGGGGATGGTCGTTACCTTCGTTCACCTGCAGGTTTGTGATTCCTAGACTCCCGCTGCTTTTCCGACGGACACCATTTGTGTTAGAGTTACTTATCAATCCACCGAACAATGCATTGCTACATCTATTTAAGTCGTGCCATGGGTTTCCACCGAGCGCATCAAAGCCAGGAGAATCAATTCCAAGATCAGGTGATTGGCAATCAAATAATCCAAACGGGTAACCATTTGCATTGTTAAACTCTCCTTTAGGACCAGGGAACTCAGCAGGCTTTGCGTTTGGGAAATCTGTGATTGTGGTGGTTGAGCTGCTCGATGGAGGGAAAAACATGCCGGAATCGCTACTTGAGCTGCTGTTTCTGGAGAGTCCAGCTTTTGCATTTCCAATCAATGGGGTAAACGCTGAATTTCCAGTACCTTTAAATAGTCCTACGGAGCCAAGCTCTGACAATAAGATACCACTGTCTTTTCCATTAGTAGCAAAATCATTGTCTTCTGGAATGATGGAATCAACAAGGCCTCCAGTGCGCATGGCAATATGTGCTTCAATCTCTTCTCTAGCCCTTTCTGTATTTTCTGGCATACCTGTCACTTCAAAAACGGGTTCATTATCCCGGCTTGGTGTGACAATATATGTATGTGTTTGCTGCTGGATCCGTTTAATTGTAGCACCTTTTGGGCCTACAACTAATCCAACTACTCGATAAGGAACTCTCACTTGTATTGTTATCTGGCCTGGGATGTTTGGAGGAGGTTGACCCTGACTTAGACCAGTGGTTGTATGACCATTTGTTGTTGTCGTACCCTGTTGATTTCTTCTACTTGCCCGAATTTGGCTGAAATGCTCTGCTGCTGATAAAATTTCCCTTTTTGCGGCGGCTACGTCTTCCTTCCTGCCAGTCACAACAAACACAGGCTCTTCACCTCGTACTGGCGTTTTGATATATGTATTTGTTTTAGCTCGCAGAGCTTTTATTTTGCAACCTAAAAGAGAGAATGTGGGAAAAAATCAAAAGGGTGTGTTCATGTTATGAATACAGTCAGCTCACTAGCAATGCGACATTCCAGAACAAAGCATTTATCATCATGGCGTACACACAGCCTCGTTAAACACCACGCGGTGACCAATGTTTGTGTGTGTAGCGAGTAGAGTGTATTCGAAAAGGATAACAAACATAATAAATAGCGAATAGTCTTACCTTGCCGTCCGACAATTTCTGCAACGTGTTCTGAACTAGGGACTGGAACACATTCAGTCATGTTGCAACTTTTCCTATTTATTCCATCAAAAGAAACGTCTTCTTCGCCACCGCTTAGATTTCCATTTTGTTGATGTCCCATGTTCAACATAGAGAAATCTAAGGCTAGACTCTGCATTCCGAGGTTTCGTTGTTGATCGTCCAATGTATTGGCCGAATTCCGCTCCATTTCAGTAATAATTGTGCTAGGCATCTCAGGAAAAGGTTTTTAAAAAGAATTTCAAGTATAAAAATATATATAAGCTGCCTTTCTTTCTTCTAATCTCAGTGCAAACGACGAGCAAGCACTACGCCTTCTCGCTCACTACTACACTTAAATGGCATTTCGTAGTTCAATAAAATAGGCGCGGGGTGACGTCAATTTTACTAGATGCTAACCAATCGCAAATATACCCACGTGCTTACATACCGGCCTCCTATTGGCTGTTTATAATGTGAAAGGTGTGGTTTTCGGAATATACCGACCACCTGCAGTGAAAAAGCGCCAAATGAAAAGATAGACACGCTATGCTTGAAATTTGCATTGCTAACAACAGAGATATACCTCGTGTATTTTAATTATTTTGGTATAATTCTTTGTCCAGTATCAACCCAAATCCTCTATTATGTACAATTTCAGAAGATAACGGTCAGAAATTTACAACAATGGCTTATGTAGACAATCGATTCATAGCTGTATCATAGGCATACACGTTAATTACATTATGTTTACGTTGATTATTTTTTTTAACATGTTAATGACAATCCTGTAGCAATACTTACTAATGATGTACAGTAGATTAAAATTATCGCAACTTTATCATATAAGTTCGAAACACTATCGCCCGGTATTAAATTATAATGATAACAAGGCGGTGACAATGATGATGGTGGCGATAATAATAAAATTATTTTTATTTATTTATTTTTTTATTTTATTCCGTTCGAAACCAACAGCAATAAAAACCTCCACTAACAGGTTGAATCAAAACGTCATAAAATATATGTGATAATTCAAACAATAATGTTAAAAATTAAAAGCAAAAAAAAAACAAACAAAAAAAAACAAAAAAACAAACAAAAAAACACTTCCCGGTACAGATTTAGCAATTTCACTTTTAAAAACATTTAATTATCATAAAAGAGACCGGTATTATAATATAGGCCTAATATTAATGATTATGATGATGATGATGACAATCATGATGATGATGATCCTAATAATAATGATATAATAGCTTAATTGGTACAGTAGCCTATATTGATCTTAGAAAAAATGTAGAATGCATATAGTATTATGTAAACAACAATATACTAATAATTCGTTTGATTACATAGGAAGCTCATGTTTGTTTATTCTTATTTACAGTATTAAAATATAACAAGGCAACATACAATTAAAGAAATAGGGACATTTCATCAGACTTATAACATGCTTAAATTACCTGACTTGAAAACTCACAAGGCCGAATTTAATCATTTTATGTAGGCCTTAATAACATTATATATCATCGAATTCCAATATTATATCTCACATTTCTAAAACTTGCATTTTGTTTCTGTATCATTTACATATTCGGTGACGTCAATGTGAAGTCAGTGTGGGGTCAATATACTAAACTTATTAATTTGAGTGTTTGGATTTTTACCCACCATCTCACATAAGAACACATATTTTTTCGCAATATTTCTTCATAGTTTTAGGAGTAGTTTCAATGAACAACTACGACGCAACCGATCGTGTGCCACGAGACAACAGCGAGATTGGCACGAGGCAACGATTGCATTTTAAGCCTACTAGGCCTATCACAGTACGGTATGCTCAGTAAAATCACACTTTGCTGCTGCAGTGCATGAATGATAATTCAATTTAAATGCAAACATTATTTGCTTCAGTAATGCAACTGGGCATTAACTTTTCATTCAACAAAAATTGGCGGGAAAAGCGCACTCACTAGTGGAAAGCAATATAGCTCTGAACACCGTTTTTTAATAATGTTCTGACACTTTTGTCTCATTTTTCAACTCGTCACACCTGAATGCGTTCGAATAGACGCAATTGCAAGGCAACTCGAGCAGGTGTTTCGATACGTCACAAAGAAAAAAAAGTACTGAATTGTTCGAACAAATCTGTTTTTTACATTTTGGCCAGAGGCCTAGATATTATTTGTCTCTTTTTATTTAACCATGAAACTAAAACGGATATCTCTTATGATTTACCCATATGAAGGTATACAGTACTGCTGTAAATTTATAACAAACAAACAAACAAACAAACAAAAAAAACTATAAAAAAAAGTTTTAATTACAGATCCCAAAAACGTTATTTAGCATTGATAACCCCGTCGTCAACAATTACGTGTAATAATAATATGCTCCCAGCCTACAGTACAGTATGTTTACTAATAAAGTATCCGCAAGGGGATTCAGATATTAGGAAATGTGTGGTGTTGTATACTGTAGTGATATTTTAGTGAAGTTTCTAGGACAGGTCTTATATTCATTTTCATCTTTAGCTCATGACTCCCATCCCATCATTCCTCCTTACCAGATTTACTCGATTTTACAGGGTTAAACGATAATATTAATATGTAGACACAAAAACCGTCATGCAACATCTTAATTTGCAATATATCGCGAAAGAAACACAGTGATAGGCCGGGCCTAATATCCACAAAGAACTCTTCGTGGTTAACTAATCCCTCTCTCTGACCAGTAGGCCTACTCGGTCTACCACGGTCAAATTAAGGGTGATTATAGTTGAAAATTAGAATCAAGAATTTCTTTTTGACCTGTCAGTCAATCACAATTTGCTTTCCGTATAATTGGTAAGTAAGTGGGCAAAGATTTTTTAATTAGTGTGGCCTACTAAAAGAACAGCCAATTATAAAGTTAATTTTAGATTCATTGCGGGATCTATTAAGAAAAAAAAACATGATTGTCTTTGAACAGATAATCTGATCAATCAATCGATCGATCAACTCGATCGTTGTCCAATCAATGAATTTAAAATGATCCGGCAGAAGGGCTTGTCTTGTTATCAAACAATAGATGGCGCTATAACATTAATCTAACCAGAGCCGTAGATAGAGAGAGTTTGGCCAACTTGGCGCATGGGCGCCATGTTGTCACCAAACAGCGTGCGCGCGTATAGCTTTATAACATTTTATAAAACACTGATGCTGCATAAACTTTCTTTCAGGCGTAAATTATTATTACGGTTTTATAAATTTAAAGGCAACGAAGGAAGGGCATTGGGTGTCATCATACAGTTTCATGACATTAATTTGAATTTCGTGATTCCATTCATTGTGGTTGCGCAATGACGTCGTACTTGACTCATTTTAAATTTCGAGGAAGGCCAATTCTCTGGCAACAGGAGCATACCATTGCGTTTCAATGCTACGAATGTGGTGGGTGTAGGTCCTAATACACCTCTCCCTAAACAAGGGCGGATTTAGGGGGGGTGGGCCGGCCCGGCCCCGGCCCCCCTTTTGGGAGGTAAAAAAAAAGAAAAAAGAAAAGAAAAAAAGAGAGAAAAAGAGAAAAATGATAGCCCAGAATGCCTCAAATGTTATGTTCGGGCGTCTAGAATACAAAAATTTCGCGGGGCATGCCCCAGACCCCCTACGACAGTGTTGTCTCAATCGGCCCAACTTTCGGCCCCCGCTTCCGCCCCCCCCCCTTTTTGGACATTTCTGGATCCGCCCCTGTAAACCGCTTGTCCACAAGTGTTTTGTGAACGACGTTCGGTGATTTCAAATAGGCCTGATATCTTTGTTAAATTTCTCCTGTTCTCTAAAGAGTGATGACTCTACGTTGGATAGTTACTTTTAAAGGCGTAGGCGTGTTACCCCGGTACATTACTTTGCTCGAATTCAGATAGGCCTATACGGACAGACGTACGCTCGTAAAAATGTAAACATTCAAGTACGATAATAATAATAATAATAATAATAAATAACATTCAAGTACGATAATAATAATAATAATAATAATAATAATAATAATAATAATAATAATAATAATAATAATTTATTAGGAACTACACTTTTTAACAGTGGCACACTTCTCAACAAAAGGTGTCAGTGTCTAAAACAAGGGCCGCACCCAAACTTTGATGTTTCCAGTGAGCTTTCAAAAACCTCCAAGCACTGCTTTTACATCACTTTATTCTCAGTTTTAATGTTACTTTTTACACATGATTGGTGTCGGGCAAAAAAATCGCTGACAGGCCGCATGCGGCCCGGGGCTGCACTTTGCCCACCTGTGCTCTAAAACAGTACAGCGAAGTTTACAAAATGTGTACGTTGACATTATAACATTATAGACACAAAAATAAAGATGATCCCTTCATGCAACTAACAACAGACCTATTTTATACCTCCATGCATCAACCATGCATCCTGTCTCATCGTCGATTTCAGGTGTCTTCTGCTAATGTTATTTTCATGTCAGTCTATCAACCAACCAATCAATCAACCAACCTAACACCTAATGATAAACTTAAGTTTGTCCTTGGTTGTACCTTGTCCACGACATGGTTCGAATTAACACCAGTCAATTGTGAATGCCACAAACAGCCAGACTATTTTTAATAGGCCTATACCTCCAAGGAAAACCCTTCGATATAAATAAGTTTGCACAGATCACAGTAGGTCTACTGTAATGTATGGTAATAACAATAAATGTACATGTATAAATACATGTGTATTGATGAACATTGTGATGCGCAGACTTAGCCTGTATATATAGTTCGTGTGATGTTTTTGTTTATAATCGGTTAAGTGAATATTAGACGGACTATAAGGTCGGCTACACTTTTCTTTTTTTTAAATAGGAAAACGTTTACAAGAACACCGAGGCTGAAATCTCTTCAAAGTACAAAATAAGAACAAATTGAGGCCGAGTAAAATGAGGTTTTTATTTTTTTCAAAAAATTATAACATTCCATTTCTAAAATTTGGTAACTTTTTAGTCTGAACAAGTTCAGGAAAGTTGCGTAACACTGCTCTCAAATTCGTACTTAATCGGTGCTTGGAGTCGAGTTTTAGGTAAAAATAAGGCATTACGGTAGGTCTCCTTCAATGACCACAAGTACTAAAGGACAGGTCAAGCCCCCCACCCCCATAGGACGAAGCTCGTCGGGCAGTCGGACAGTTTTAAAAACCCAGGAAGTTGAGGGTTATGCCAGGATTTGCCCGATGGCCGGGGTCCAATGTCCCTTACTGGGGGTGGGTCAACGTCCCCGACAAGAGCAAAGTGGGCGTGGTCACTCAAAATATTTCGAAAATATTATAATTTAGGGGTTTTAAATGCTTATTTAATCGATTTTATAAGTCTACTGGTCTCTAGAAATACACTTTTTC